TTTTTAAGTGAAACACAGCAAGGAAGCAGACATGACAATCTGGCTAGTACCCTCTGTTTGACACAATGTGGCACCCCCCTCCACTATGAAAAATCCTGGGTACGCCACTGTAGCCTGTTCTAGCCTTCCGTTGGCCAAACGGAGCGCAATAGGCGGGGTGGAAAAAATTCGCCATTTTAAGTCATCATCCTCCGCCATTTTAAGTCACGTGACTAGAGCCCTGGCTCTCGGTCGAAGAAAGTGAGAGCAGTTGACGTGAACTACTGTTGCGACGCTTCGTTTTACCAACTGAAGGCTGTAGATAGGCTAAAAAACACTCGGCTACCGTCAAAGATTCTTACTTCAAAACTTTCTTTTACAACTTCCTTTTCTGACGAATCTAACAATTTGGATTCTGCTTCTCCAAGCTAAAGAACAAAAAAGGTATTGTCATGAGAATACTACGATAAAAGTAAAACCCTTACACAACACAATATCATTATTAGGATTCCCCAATCGAGACGTTCCGCGGCCCAACTATATGTACAATAATGAATAACAAAAGGATGTTAAAAAGAAAAATAATTTAATCTAGATTGAATAAAAAAAATGTCAACCGCTACACCAAAATGGGCTTAATTTCTACGGTCCAACTTGTATTAGGCGGTCACCCACTTAATACAAGTTGACCGCTTAGTACAGGTTCCATAGAATAGAGGTATTTTAAAACGATAAACAGCGCCATTTTATGTCACATGTGACCACTAAATGTACAAAAAAATCACTGAAAAAAAATTCTACTCACCTTGATTATGGGATATAAACATGGGTTAATTTTTGCTTGAAAGAAAATTCTTAGTTTAATTTGAGTAATTCCGCTTTAAGCGAAGCCGACCGCTAAATACAGGTTCGATTGTACTAAAAAAAAACTTTCTAGGTGACTCATAAAGCTGTGTTTAAAATTGCAATGTTTGAAAGGCTCTGCAATTGGGTTCCACAATTATGGCCCTCTATATTAGAATGATCATTGTACATAGTTGGTGTAGTTCTTTGGGAGGTTCATGTTTTGAATGTTAAAGATACTGAAAGAAACTTCAACTTTCTACTTTTACAGGTGGGGGAAAACTTTATTTCAAGCGTACCTGCATCCTCAAGTCTTCAACTAACATTTGTAGCTCGGTAATTTCTGCCTGTAATTCATCCCTTTCCCTGACAAAGTCTGACTTTGCAAAATCTGCCATTATCCCCAGCTGTTCCAATTCAGACTGCATGTCCGTCTTCTCTTTTTCTAAGTCAGTTACCTTGGTTACAAGCTTTTGATAAGCGGTTCTCAAGTTCATATTATCTTTCTCGAGTTGCCTACAGAAGGGAAAGAAAAAACAACCACCATAAAATGTGGTAATTGCACAATTGACCAACTCTAGCGTTGAGGCTACTGATGAATGAAAGTAAATTTAGAGTCAACATCGAAGAAAGGCTCTTAACTAAAAGGTTACAGAAATGATTTGAATCAAACGGACGTACTCGACTCTTAGTTGACTATCGCCATCTTCATGAGGATTTTCCTGCAGCCAATCAGAAACTCTCTTGTCACTAGTTTCAGACGACATGGTCTTAAGAAACAGAAAATAAACAAATGAACATGTAAATAGATATATATTATTTCTTGCATATGTTCAGGAACAGCATTACCATATACTGTTGTGCGAGTAAAACTCTCGCAGTTCCACGTTTCTACTTTTTTGCATTGGCCGTCATGAGTGTGGAAAGTAACCAAAGACTGAACTGGTGTTGCTCTCGTGGGCTCTATAGACCTCTCTGTCATAAACGACATGCTGATTACTATCCCTTTCTATATCTAGAGAAATAACCCTTTCGGGCTACGACAACATGTTTAAAAATCATAGGCCAAGAAAGCTAATTTGCCATCAAACAGAGAATAATCATGCCCGCCATTGTAAGAGAGAGTTATCTCATTGGTCAAGAAAACTTTCGCCACTCTTTGACTAATCAGATGCAAAACTCACCAATCGCAACTTGAACGCTCGCGGTTTAGGAGCATTGAGCAGTTCGATTGTTTGACTTTGAGTTCACAATGGTCCCTTTCGGTATTAACCTTTCTGTTACGAAAGCTCTTTGATTACTGTTCAGTTTTAATTTCACGATACTCGTTCAGCTGCGCTCCAGCAGAAAAGTTGACTTGAGGGTTTAAGAGTTCATAAAAAAAGGTAAGCGGCCTAAGTACGCTGAAACTATCTCTGTTTTAAACCATAAAACGACTTGGGGTATCACTGATCAAATGACAAATGAGTTTGACGCATACCTCGATATTTCCAGGTAGCTCTACGGACGAAGAGTCTGATGACCTCCGCTGAGGAGAAAAATCACAGGTTACATTAGTGATGGAAAAAGTAAGTGAAACAGGAATTTTAAAAACACTCTTATCTCGTTCCTTGACTGGGGCAGCCAAAAAAGTCTTTTGGTTTTATCAATTGAGTAGATAATGTAAATTGACCACCGTAAAAAAAAAAAAAAAAAAAAGTCTATTTACTAGCCAGTGGCCCATCAGGCCGGCGCTTAACTCCGGTTTCTCATTGTAGCATGAAGCGACTAGGAGTATTTCTACTCCCCCCTGGATGGGATGATAATCCATCGCAGGGTTACCCCCCGGCATTAAATTTGCCGGTACCCATTTATACACCTGGGTGAAGAGAGGCACTGTGACTATTCGCTCTGACGAAGGGGTTACGATTATAGGTACTAAGGTCGGCTTATAAACTCTTTAGGGTGGCAATCTACATTATTAACTCAGTTGATAAAACCAAATTATCTTGGAATACTCCCACCGACGCAGTACCACAGTTTCTTTAGAAACCAACCCCTTTAAGCGAAAGGTCCCCTCACTGACGCGGCAGCACAGTTTCTTCATAAACCTACCCCCTTTAAGCGAAAATGTCTCCTTACCGTTTTCGGAAGCTTAATAATTCCACGACTTTGTCTTCAATTTACCTTGTTCTTTCCAGAGAATGAAAACTGAAACTTGTTTTTGAAAGAACTCAGTGATGATAACGCCGAACTAGACATGTTGATGGAGATGTTCTCTATGTCTTCCTCCTCATCTTCTTCTGGTATCGTTGATTCTTTTAAATCTTCTATGGCAGCACTGACAATTTTTCTTCTGTCTCTGTTTCTTTCCAAAGCTTTGTTGCTTTTGCTGTCTGCTTCTTCTGATGTCGTTTCTTGAGGCACCAATGCATCATCCGTAGAGGCTACAAATAAAGCAAATTTAACATCGTTCACATGAAATAATCTCCTGACTGACAGCTCTTGTAGTTCAGCTTCGGGGATTTTAATCATTTGCCACCGAAAAAGATTGGCTTTAACTCTTTTTTTTTCTTTAAAGAACTATGTAAAATTTGCAGAGTTGGAACTTTTTTTTGAAATCAAAGGTGCCCCAAAAAAACTCGATGCTTCGAATTTCACTTTTCAGAAGATGACAACATGAGTCAAATTGAACCATTCGAAAGGCTAAGAGGAGGGGGGGTTGCTGTTAATAATAATAATAATATAATATAAGATGCAAAAATCTTTCTAGATTTTTTGTACAATTTGCTGTAACTGAAACTTTGCCAATCTCGTGAAGTTATTTCGTCGCACGGGCCACACAGGTATGTCGAGCAACTGGCACTTATGCTTACGTAGCTTTCTTTGCGCGACAAAATCTAACCTTAGCTTTGTCAGCTGTAAAGTCTGTCACACTATGGCCAAGGTTACAGAGAACGTTAAGTTCGTGGACGACCTCCAGCAACCGCTTACGGAAAGCTTAGCTGTGTTTCCGGTTAGCTAATTGAAATCTGAACAAAAATAATTATCGAGAACAACGTGGGAAGGAGAGATGTTTTCGAACAGTTACCGAAGGGGTTTGGAAATAGTTTAATCTTTCAACTGCTGCCTAGAGTGTTCAAATTCTCGAGCTCGAAAGGCCACGGATTCTCTTCTAGTCCCTTGGTCATTGTCATTTCACCTCTTGTCGATTGTTGGAGACCAAGTTAAATACCTTTGATCATTGGGGAAAACAAAAACCAAAGACAAGGAAATATTGGATGGAAAGTGCGGGTTTGCTTTGTTGTAAATGTCAGCTTAGTATAGGGTTATCTACCCACATCTAATAAACAAAAGTTTCCACGCTTAGCTTTTCTTTTATTTCAGGCGAAGATTAGATATGATTTTGGCGTGTACAGAAAGCTTCATAAGCGCCAGTTGCTCGACATACCTGCGTGGTCCGTGCGACAAAATAGCTTCACGGGATTGGAAAAGTTTCAGTTACAGCAAATTAGACAAAAAGTCTAGAGAGATTTAAGCTTACATCTCATCTAACGTTTAAAGCGACATATCAATGCCTGCAACCATTATGTTTTATACGAACCTCGCCAATTTTTTAACAAGTTCTCTTGTGATACCTGCGAAAGTATTCAGTATAATTACCGGTACGATTTTCGCGGACAATCTGATCGATTTCTTTTACATTGTGTGCTGAGACTGAAACTTTTTACCTCGGGCAAAGCTTCGTCGCACGGCCCAAACAAACATAACGAGCAACAGAGCTTCTCGTTATATATCCGTATTAAAACACACGAAAGGACTCCAAAGCACACTTCACTCTGATTGGGCAGAGAAACACAAAGATTTGCTGGCACCAATCAGATGCCAGAACGACTGCGACCGTTTGGAACTAGTCTTGTAAGACAATGTCGCCAGGGGCTCTTCTGCCCATAACTTGAAATCGACTCACAGCCCCTGGGTCTCCGAGGATGAAGAAATCCTAGATAAGGTTTGTTATTACCTTGGTTGATGTCACTGACTGTACCATCTGCCAGAGGATTTCCCAGCATGGCCACATTTCTGTACTCTAGTGTTTTCATTTCATCAATAAACTGAGACCATGTGCTGCAGTCAAGGGAGAATAAGAAGTACGTATAATTATTGCAATGGATCTAGCCCATGCCTATCCCTCTTTCCCCACCCTGAGCATGAAGAGACTAGGAGTAATACTACTCCCCCCCCTGGATGGGATGGGAGTTCATCATAAGGTTCCCCCCCTAAAAAAAAATTCACTGGGCTTCCCTAACAGTTCCCTGGTACCCATTTGTACTCCTGGGTGTACAAATGATGACATTGCAAAAGTAAAGTACTTTGCCTAAAACAACAAGTTAATGACCTGGTCAAATACGGGACCTTGGGCCTGTTTCTCAAAGGTCCTGGTAACTCAACAGGCTCATAAAGCTGTTCTGTTTTCATTCAACGAAGGAGTTTCAAACATTTTGAAAATTATACAATAAAACTAGCAGCTAAAGAAACAAAATGGACTGGTGAAAGTGTCAGAGCCTGCTTCTCTATTGATTAACTTTTGATTTTTAACTATTGCTTCAGGCCTGTTAAGAAACTGGGACTTTCAAGAAAAAGGCCCCAGGATCTCTCAACCCAAACACCAACATGCTGACAATTAGGTCACCGCATCTCCCCCCTGAGGTCTGAATTGCTTGCTGGATAGCGGTTTATCTATTGTACAGCATTACCAGTTGGGGCCAGGCAAGCAGGAAAGCCTTTGATAATGCTCACAGTCATGCATGCTGTTTAAACAAAGATCATTGTCAATTTCAGTTGTCCTTTGCTTATGACTTGACTCCTCTTGACTTACTGTTTTGAACGGTCAGCCAATTTGACTGATTCCCTTGGTTTACTGTTTTCTTCTTCTTCTTCTTCTTCTTCCTCCTCATCACTGCATTCTTCCAGCTCAGACAGCCTTGACTTGAATTCTGCATCACTCAGATGACTAAAGTTGCTTTGCATATCATCCTCACTTTGGAAAGACAGAAAGGACAAAAATAATTCCTAGCCCATTCATTTACAATATAAAAGACACAAATGATAAAAGAATTTTTCAATTAGCTGGCAATAAATTAAAAAAAAAAAATCAAATAACCAGAGAAAATGATCAAACAAAGAGTGAATTAGTCTATTTTCAAGGTCTTGGGATTTATGAGTTCTGTTTATTAAGGGTCATTTAGTGGTAGTCTATTGAACCAAAGTCTCAACCTCTGAACTGTGCCCTGTGCCGAATTATTATTACACAAAATTGTCATGGAAGGACTGGGTAGAGTGAAGGTCAATTTTGTTTCTGGAGTTAAAAAGCTAAAATTGTAAAGAAATGAGAGGACAATTCAAAGAGCATGCAGATGTCTGAGGAAAGAGTTTCTTTCTTGCATGTACATGTAGCTATAGAGGAAGCACTGCATTCCAGCATTTCCCCTGTCCAGGCCCCCGCCCCAGAGAATTTCTCTCTATATAAATCAAAATTTATCAACCCTTTCACCCACCCACTAAGTGACTTTCTACTTAAAGTATCACTGCTGAGTCAAACATGAAGATCCTAGAATAATAGGAATGATCACTGACCAAGAAGAAGTTTGTGATCAAAACAATTAAATTATCCATGTCAAAACCATAGGAAATTTAATTTACTTGAATAGAGATTAGTTATGGAGAATATACATCCCGATATTAAGGTTTAATCAGTTAATATATTAATAAAAACAACTTACTCTGCTCTTCCCTCCTTTATAAATTCACATCTTACTTTTGCTCCAATCCTTGCAGATATAATCTTCTTGGAGAGCGGTTTGAATTCCATCTCCAAGTCAAATCTAAACACATATGGAGAAATACTTCTTGTTATTGAAATTCAAAACAGATTTGAAGAGTGTGAAGGCTCCTTACAGAACCATGGGCAGAGTTCAGAAAGAAGCATGAACAAGTAAGAAATTTGACAAAAAGTAAACGAGAAATGAAAACACATTTCATCTTACTCTCTGACTGTTTTCCGATAATTTTGAACCAAACCATCATGTACCCTGTACTCACATTTCCTGGTCAAGAGAGGCATAATCTGCCATGTTACAAGGAAAAATAGCAAGTTTCTTCCTTGCATCTGCAGTAACCTAAAAATAAATTATGCTACATGACAATTAATTCTGTACAATTATCCTTGTGATCTTCTTTGTCATGTTTTCTAGCTTGTAAGCTTGCTTGCTTCTCAGGTACAGATTGTTATATATTGGAAAACTGCACAAGCCTGTTCTAAGTGAGTCAAGGCATACAGTATATACTCAGTGGTATATGAGGTGGCACACCAGCAAGAACCATGTAGATAACTCTAAGTTAGCTGGTTTATAATTAATTAGTAGTTAAATGCAAATTTAGAATCAGAGACTTGCTTTACATCATATTAAATACATTAATCACAGGCGTGCTGTAATACTTTGCATGAAAAAGTATGTTGACTACAAAGAGGCCACAGGAGGACTTACATTTTCAAGGACAAACATGTAGTCTTTCTTCCTAAACATGACTCCAGTAAAATCCTGTGAATTTATAACAAATTTAGGCTGGGCTTATCATACATCTTATATAGAACTGATATCAAAGTGTACCTAATATAGTTCCCATCTAAATACAACAATGCAAGGCTGTGTACAATGATGGAGCAAACCTGTGAATTCACAGCAATAAAACATATGCTCTACTGACAGTAAAAAAAAAAAAAAAAAAAAAAAATCAGGGCTTTGCTATGGACACATAAATTATTAGATTTCTAAAGCAATACTTAGAGGCTTGGTCAAGGAATATAGCAGCCCTGGGTGACTTCTGACACATCAACTTCTCCATGTGTTTCTCAAGGGATACAAGTCATTTTGAAATGAGAACCTAGCATTCTATATTAAAGTTCACTAGGGGCTTTTTTCCTCAAACTTCAAAATACCTTGTAAAGTGTGACAACCAAGTCCACGGAGTTGGGTGGAAACCAGTTGGCAGCATAACTAACAATTCCTGTCTTTTCATCTGTAATTGACACTTTTGAAGTGGGCTGTGAAAGTGACGTAGTTGTTTTACCATATAAATTTCATGAGTGAAGCAAAATACAAAATACTCTTTTTGCTTCTTTGGACTTAAGATATCAAAATTTCACTGCCAAAAATTTTCAGCAGTTGAATAATATAATTTCTCTCTCCACAAACTATCAGACTTCCCACCAAACCTAATTATATTAACCAAATATTAAATCCATTTATCATGTCTTATTCCAAAATCTCGGCTGTTATATACTCCAATCTCATGACTCTACATTTCCTTAAGAATTGAATGTGCTACAAGAGTTGATGTTCTTCATGTTATTGTATTACATCCTCCAACTGATAATATATTTATAATGTCTTTTCTCACACCAGGTCCTTGTAAAAGAATCATTAATTATGTAAAGACTTATGAAAGGCTATCGGATTTGATTTGAGAATTAAGAATTTGTTATCCATTCTTGTCAGTTGTATTGATAAAATCCAACTTCCAATAATGCCAAAAAAATATCAATTTCTGAAAGTGCATGTAAACAGTAAGCTCAAATATCAGACTTCTTTTCTGCTTCAAGACTTCAGAGTCCAGTAAACTGAACCATTGTTGCATGCAACATACCTTTTCTGATACTTTGGATCGGTGACTTCTGAACCAAACAATGCTCAAGCAAGAAGGCTGCCTATCAATATTTCATTTGAAGGCTGATTAGACTTAGGACAAATTAACATTTGGGTAAATTTATAAAACATGATGTGCATATTATGAGAGAGCCTCTTTAAATATTAAAATAAATTATAAGGATCAACATGATTTACAAGGATCAACAGAATTTCACTTGATTAATTCAAAACAATTTCATGACAATTTTTCAGTTTCAAAATTACAAATGCTTCATGGGCTAGCTCCAGGATAAAATTAATTGTGATGACCCTCTCAGTGAGTAAATCATGTTTGAGTCCGTTTGTAACTTGTTCTATCCTTTATTCAAAAATTTTTTAGTCCTGAAAAGGGTTTACTATCACGCAAACCATCCTGTGTGCAGTATAAAGCTAGGAAATATTTTGCAATGTGATAGTTAGACAGCAACTAGGTCTGATATTGCTATCATCATAACGTTTGAATAATTGAATAATTGGAATAGCCGAGCAGAAGGCAAGCTAATCAGACAAACATGTATACTAATTCCCTGCAAATACTGAAAATCAATTTAATAACAAGAATTGTTTAAACGTCAAATGACGGTTAATCACGCAGAATATTAAATAAATCCGAAACCTGAATCACAAAATTATTGGACATCGAAGGACGAAATTCGCGCATTTCGTCCTCATTAAATCTTGCCAACATTGCTACATTAAATCAAGTCGAACAAAAAGTGTTACGATCAAAACATTATTAGATAATTAACTCTTTCCTGCATCAAAAATTCTGTATTGCGGAAGCTTAAAATGAAATCCGCATCACTTAAAATCTTAAAGACGATAACAACAACTCGATTAAAATGGGAAGGATTGAGTGGTTCCCTTCTGTATCTTGACACAGATTCTTCGGGAAAACCGTTCATAAAATCGAACCCGTTACAGATAACCTCTGTCGGCACGGTCTGAAAACCTTTGTGAACATTCCAAAGGATCGAATGTTTTGACAACTGGTAAGCTTACCTTTAATATTGGCCTAATTGAAGGCAAACACTAGCTACTTTACTAACACAAAATTGTACTTGAGATCGTACTTACCATCTGTTGTTGCATTTTAAGTCCACATATTCATAGGTGACCGTGAATCGAAATTTGCAGGCTTTACCCTTTAACGATTTTGAAAATGACTTACGAACACGGTTACGGACGCTCATTGCATTTATATCCTGAAGCAGGCGAAATAATCTGACTTTAGTCGTATGCTATCGTTAACAAGCAGATAACGACCTAACATAGGCTGAAAATCTACTCCTCTGCTCGATTTCTGAGCATCAGTGTTTTGATTTCCGCAGTGAGACGTGCATATTTTTAGAAGACTTGACATTTGAACGAGGTTTATTTCCGACTCCCAGCGTCAAAATCCCGGATGAGGACCAAACAGGCGAGATGGGGTAAGGGGCGGCCGGCGGGGCCATCCCAAGCGCAGGTCCCTACAACACTATAACCTGAAAGCACAGACTTGGAGGCTGAATTGAACATTCAGATGATATGCGTTATGGGCTGTTATGTTATAAAACTTGAAATTGAATAGATACAACGCAAAATAGTACGTACCTGCTCAATATAC